TAATGTCGAAGCAAGAAAGAATGAAAAGAGAACTCAAGGTTCTAGACGATATTTAAGATATTCAGAAAAGAGGAAAGACAGGAGAGAGAGAGCTCGACACTATCTATATGTATATACGTACATGCATACGTGAATCTATATACATATATACGTGTATATGTATAATATATTTATATTCTATATTTGTATACGGGGTGTCCCGAAACCGAAGCGGTGTACACACGCCGCGTGACGGTCGTTAAAGCGGCTGATAGATAACGGACGATCCAATGATCTGATGATAATAATAATAATAATAACGAGCGGACGTTAATGAATGATTTCTTGCTCGAGTCTTCATTATGACGATATCGAGCGTAGACAGATTGCGACAGACGAGCGAAGCCGCAGACGAACGAAAAGAAGACACGATTCTGTATGATACCGTACCGTACGTGGTTTTCGGACATCCTGTATAGATATGTACCTAACGACCCATTATAGATTACGCCAGACGATACATACGTTATATTGTTTTGTATCTTACCTATTTGGTAACGCCATAGCATTTGATATTGATATCAATATATTTTGTGAGAGCCGCATTACACCTTATAGTTTTTGTAATAGACCAAACAGATATACATATCTCGGAGCCTATATATATATATATATATATATATATATATATATATATATATATATACATATATACATATATACATATATCTATCTATTCTATACATATCTAGGTAATTAGGTAAATTTGTGTTGTTACCAGACCTTAGATATTATTGAGATTCTAGGCGTTCTAGGTTCGATTAGTTAGAGAGAATCTCTCAGTTTTTGGGCGAATTAATATTACTATGTACACGTTCCTACCGTTGAGATTACTAGTGAACTATAGCTTTTGGGAAGTCACACTATGATATCGTTAGCTTAGATTGTACTTTAGGCACTTCTTCGCGGAGGATCGCGCGCTCGCTCTCGATCGTTCGCGATCGAGAAGTCAAAAGATCGCTCACGCAACGGCGCCGGCGAAAGAAGAAGTTACACGCTTGGTCCCGTCGTAACATTCCTGTTAACGACAACTCTCTCGCGTCCGCGCGCGGATTATTATTCGCACGAACGCGCTTCTCCGCGACGGCGGGGCGGGAGGAGAAGCGAAACGAAGCGAGAACAGCAGAGTCATCCGCGAAGAATACGCATTACCAGCGGCTTCAAAGAGACCTATTACATTGTACCTATTACTTAAACAAGCTACGTTACATAGTACATTTATTATTACGTTACACGCGTAATATTATACCTCTCTATAGGATACATACTAAATATATATCGTGCGTATACCTGTCTATACCTAATGCCTCACAGTCCCCCGTATATTCCCTATACTCATATACCACTCGTTACATAGTAACTTAACTCTTCTCTTAAGCCACATAGCCACCGTTTACCTTGAATAATAATGCGTGAGACGTGTGCCCTAGAGAGTACATGCGTACTTTGTAGCTGCGCGAGAGAGGGAAAGAGAGAGAGAGAGAGAGAGAGAGAGAGAGAGAGAGAGAAAAAGAGAAAGAGAGAGAGAGAGAGAGAGAAAGAGAGAGATAGAGAGAGAGAGAGAGAGAGAGAGAGAGAGAATGAGAGAGAGAGAAAGAGAGAGAAAGAGAGGCGCAACACACTGTCAGTTTCGTAAATAGACCAGACCTTGAAGGTGCGGTTTCGTTCGGTTTGGCCTTTGTGATGCTTGGCTGCGGGGCCGGATTTTGCTTCTACCCGGGGAATGTAGAGTATCCGACGAGAGATGCCACGCTACAATCTGTAACGGGGGCGCAGGACGACACGACGGAATGCACCCCCGATACACTACGGCCTCGCGAACGTTCCCCTTCCCCTCGAGAGACGGAACACGCATCGAAGGAGAGAGAGACGTAAAATTTTAGCCCGAGAGAGAGAGAGAGGGAGAGAGGGAGAGGGGGAGAGAGAGAGAGAGAGAGAGAGAGAGAGAGAGAGAGAGAGAGAGAGAGAGAGAATAGCCCGACGAAAATTCCACGCTTGTCGGTTGCCGTCGATGTGACGTAAAACATTAATCGACCGGCAACCCGATCGTAAACTCTCAAGCCGAGACAGGCTTTATGCGCTCCGCGCGCGAAACTGCGAGAGACTGTTGATGTTAATGTCGTACGTAAACGTCTGCTCTACGTGAGATCGATATGTTGCACATCCGAGGAAGATACAGGGTGTATTGCCGTGTTAGACGCCACGTAGAAATCATGTGCTCGCGCGCGCGCGCGCGTGCACAAGTATTTTCCGTCGAGATCTATTCACACGTGTTTCGATGAAAAGCGAGACAAAGTTTTATCCATATACAGGTTATATGCATATATATATATATATATATACATATATATATTATATAAATACATTACAAATATAATACGACGCTGCAAACGATTCCATTGAAATAAATGCGAGATAGTCCTCGACGTGTGTGCAAATCTCATTGTAGCTCGGAAGAATTTAGTGAAAGCCATTAAGACTGTGCAAAAGCAAACGAAAACTGATAGTAAAGTACGATTGAGCGCTTGACGTAATCAAAAGCAGCCCGGTAGAGAGACTTTAGGTACGGAATTACTAATACTATTAATATGTATCAGTGTATTTTAATGGCTAGAATAAACGCTCTTATATACTTTTTCCATCTGCGTATATTGTGAGAGCAACGTCGATATGGAGACTAGTATAGTGAGTCAGTAGTGTAGCATTGTGGTCGGTGTTTTTTTTCAATATTGTATCGTCAATATATAAGTGTCGTAGTGGCGTCGATACTATGTCACCCTCTCGTCGCGGCACATGGACGGGAGCGAGAGGAGAGCGCGAGAAGAAGAAAGCTATTCGCCTCACGCGATAATTCCACAAATTGTCTCTCGGACCTTGTCGCGAGAAGACGCGGTTAAAGCGCGGACGCGCGCTCTCTTTCTCCCCCGTCGCTCGCGCGCTCGGTGTGGCATACTAGCGACCCTTAGTCGATATCTAATAAGCTATATAGAGAGCCTAGCAGATATTACTTAACGGTAAATAATTAACCAATACCTTTGGAGGCTACAATAACCATAGTTCATAGGAGGGTTTATTTTGTCGTAGATTGGAAACACCTCGGCCGCGCGTAGTTATTAGTACCTTGTCACACAGTTTAGTCAATGCGCTATATAGTCGATGCGATTATACATATATATATACATAGTGAGAATCTTAGTTGTGTGGTCTTTTGGATTAGTATCGAATTATGAAATTTCATGGATGCCTTGATCTCTCTATCATTCTCATTTTCTTTCTTTCTCTGTATCTATTTTTCTCTATCTTTGTCTCTCTCTCTCTCTCTTTTTTTCTCTTTCTCTCTCTCTCTCTCTTTTTTTCTCTTTCTCTCTCTCTCTCTCTCTCTCTCTCTCTCTCTCTCTCTCTCTCTCTGTCTACATTTCTCTTTTTCTTTCCTTCTTCTTTGTTTCTTCATCTCTCTCTCTCTCTCTCTCTCTCTCTCTCTCTCTCTCTCTCTCTCTCTCTCTCTCTCTTTCTCTTACACATACACACACATTCTCTTTTACTCTCTGATTAACCTAGAAAGCTTCTAATCCTATTTCTTATCTTCTTTTCTTTTTACGTTCTCCTTATCGTTTGGACCTAGTCATCCGTTACACTTAAGCCGTTGATCCCGACGAATTTCTGCAACGCTTCGCTTCATATACTTAACTCATCTCCATGTACATATTCTTAAATGTCTACGCCTACCTTCGCTTGCTTGGGGAAAAATATTGGTCCCGCGTGTACGCAACTCCGCGGAAATAATGAGCGCGCGGAAACTTCATTTCCGACACCAAGTTCATCCTCGCTGGAGTTCTCGAGCGATCAATATCTTTCTTCGTTCGTAGTTGCAGAAATTTTGATCGAGACTTGAAATCGTTGCACTAACGAATACATGCAATATATCACGATAATGAGGGGACAAGAGCTTAAGAAAAGAGGAGAGAAACGAATAGAAATGGGAAGAGAAAAAAGAATGAGAGAAAAAGTATTCACGCGATACGCACTGACCAACATGTCGATCTTACATTAATCAAATTTGTTTTTCCTTATAGATTTTATGTGGTCCCTGGGAGCATTACCTGATGGTGAGTATGAAATATGGTACGGACTTATATCTGGTAGACTCGATACGTACTGACGGCTGCTATTATGGCCGACAGCATAGCTCAAGTAATAGTGATACCATGGGGCTCGACAGCCTTGATATATAATCATCTATTTCGTTTGCTTTATCAGTGACATATGTCTCGGTTGAACTCGAACATGAAACTCGCATAAATGTTAAATGATTATGATGAGTTGTTAACCTCGTTCCTAATTTTTCCGCTAATGGATATTTAATTTAATCAGGCGAAATAGAATACATGTGACGTGTATAACTTAATAGATTTAACCCAATCTAACGACCAGCGGGCAGATTAGTTTCAGCGGCTCTTGTAATTTCGACACCGACGTAGTTAGGCTGCAAACTACTACTACTACTACTACTACTACTACTACTACTACTACTACTACGTTCAAGTCAATCATTCGCTGTTCTCTACCTAGCGACTGTTTCAATCTCGAATCAACCCAATCACGACTCTAACGCATAACAAAAAGCCATAGTCTCATAAGACACAGGAGCGAAATGAAATTAGACTCAGGAGACGATCGAGCGAGGAGAAGCCTCGCGCTCTCGTCTAACGCAGGCAAAACGCCCTTTGCAGAACTTTGCAAGCTTTCGCGTCTCCCACGGATACGTGAACCGCGAACGATCGCGCGCCGTCTCGGCCGCCGAAGGGTCCGAGGAACAACATGCGAGTCGCTCAGCAAGTAACGAAGAGTGCTAACGAAGATCTTCCTTGTGTTCGCAGGTTTCCCAGCGGCGGCGTACGCGGCATACGCGGCGGGCCGCGGCTATTCTGGGTACCCTAGTTTCGGATTACCCTACCCGACAGGTAACCACCTTAGCCTTAACCACCTTAACCACCACAATGCGGCCCACATCGCGCCCCTGAACCTGAACTTGAACCTCATACAGGCGCAGCCCGCGCCCCACCATAACCCGCCCACCCCGACACCGCTCTTTTACCATCCCAATCTGGACCTCTACAACGCCATGCCTCTGTGAACTAACTCGCCGACTAACGGTACCGATCCAAGCTGTGCGCGCACTCTAACCCATCGCTACACGCTAACTGATCATTGTGCTGTCGCTTCGTCCACCCGATCCCAGCGCGACGGGAAAGCGTGTCGTGACGCGATCGCTACGTCGGCGGGCGAAAGGTAGCCCCGCGATCTCGAGGAGAATTCGGAGGAGGAGGAGGAGGAGGAGAAAGAGGAGGTGGTGATATTCGGGCGGTTCGGAAGCGTGGCAGGACCACGCGATAACCTCGAAGTCCTCGAAGATCGCGCGTACCTCGTCGCGAAAAGTCGCCAAGTTTCCGTTCGGCGATACGAACGGCTTCGCCGTAGCGAACAGGACGAACAGGACGACGGAACGGCCGGAACGTCGCAACGGCTTCCGGCCGAGTACACGTGCGTGCGTGCGTGCGCGCTCGCGTGTCACGCTGTTTCTCTCTTCCGTCGCACGGCGGAAACGAGAGAAAGGACGATGAGATTCCTGCTTAAAGCGCGGACGATCCCTCTTTAAAGCACGGCGAGCCCCGATTTCGCAAAAGTTTTCTCTCGCACAAGGCGTCTCTCACGACGACGCGGCGACGGCGGCGCGGCGGCCGTAAGAATGGACGAGGGGTGAGGAGAGGAGAGGGTCGGCGTGGAAACGGGAACGGGGCGAAAAATGCCGCGCCGTGAGAAACTTTGTCTGGTTACAGGATATTCGGGGATAAATTATTAATGTCGAGCGGTGTCAGCTCGCCGACGCGATGGCTCGCGCTCGGCTGCAATATCGACTCCGCTTCGCACTATGAGAAAGTTTGTACATTATTGGAGTGCTTATTCGATACTTGTCGCGGTGTTGGTTTCGCGTATTTTCTTACAACGAGAACACCGTCGGGTAGCAGCCGGCGACGGCGCGGGTGAGAATCGTACAAATCGATATAAGTTACTATATCGAGGCGCTCCCGTCATTTAGGACTTAAGAACACTAAAGAGAGATTTGTTACCCTGGAGATACGCAGAGCGCGAGCGAGAGAGATAGAGGGGAGAAGAAGAGAGAAAGGAGGGGAGGGGGAGGGGAGAGTGGGAGGAGAAAGAGAGGAGTGTTTAGCGTTGCTGCACGCACTTTTGCGTATTAATCAGCGAGACGTTCGATAGATTTCACGACGGCAGCCATTATATCGTATTATTTTTCTACAGTATTTTTAGGTGAAATATTTTTAAGGAACAATGGGTTACGTGGGGTATAAATAATCTATCCTCTTTTATTCCGCGGTAGACGATAAATCACCGGGTGTTTGCGAAAAAGTGGCCGCTATCCGTGTATTCGGAATTTATTGAGCTATTGTAGCTGCAGTGTACTATTGACTCTCTCCATTTCTCTCTCTCTCTCTCTCTCTCTCTCTCTCTCTCTCTCTCTCTCTCTCTCTCTCTTTCCCTCTCTCGGGCTATAATTTTCAGAGAATTTGAAATTCCGAAATTATTTTACGCGCGATTCGCGGGAAACCCAGACGATCTGCATAGGAGGGAGAAAAATACACATGAATTATACCAATTATACGGGGACTCACCAAACTATTCGAACGATTTCATTCAATTTATAGTGAGTTACCGTTTCGAATATTTTGGTGAGCCACTGTATATAAAACCAATCATTCCTTTCAATAACGAATGCATCCCAATAACAATCTCGATAAAAGCAAATATCCAATCAATGTCCGAATTCATTGGAGTAAATGCCACTAAATACTGAAATGGTTGCTGAAAGTTATTAGAAAATACTTTTGCTGCATAGCGGATTGTAAAATCGACATTCTCTATTTTGCGCGAACGCGCGCGCGTGCGTGCGCGCGCGCGTGGCGATATTTTGAAAATACGATGTCACCAAAATTGAGTCCGACAAAGCTGTTTGGCTCGGCCAACGGGTTGTGAAATCGATCGCGATATAAAATGTGCGGAGGGAGTTGGGTAAAATGTCATTGTTGATATCTGGCAGGGGTAACGAGTACGTATCGATTGACAATGATACGCGGGAGAACCGCATCGCGGTCCACTCAGGCACACATTTATACACACATACACACACACACGCACGCGCACACACACACACACACACACACGTACGCAAACACACGCGCGCCCTCACAAACACGTCGCGGCCGTATGCCCGCCATATACGTAGCCATCAGCGTACATATATGGTTATAACGATTAATAGGATATCCCCGGAAAATAAGCACATCCGTCTTTCGATATCGATCGATTGAAATCGGAGCGGATGGTAGCTGCCGGGCGTATCTTTCGAGGTCAAGCCTTCTACTTCACGTCGCATTCGCAAAATGAAAATCGCGGATGCGCGTTGCACTTGGATTAGATTCGAGGAGATGCCGTCTCTATCTCCATTCCGTTCCGATGCGATATTGCGATTGCCCGTAACGCTCGATTGACCGAGATAAAGAATAATCGATCGTTAGCTCGCCCTCTCGCGAATCATCGGGGACCCTCCTGTCCTCTCTTATCCATCTGTTACGAACAATGTGTGTGTGTGTGTGTATGTGTATCGCCATTTCTACAAGTTCCATGTGAGTTTTTAACGATATTAACGGGGCGGTTATTTAGATTTTCATCGATATATCGATTTGTTATTATTTCGTGAATTATTGTTTGATTTTGTTACGTCGAACTTTTAAACGAAAAATCCGCGCACACCCGATGTAACGAATACGCGTTCAATAATATCGAACTCCGCAGCGGCGCAACAAAACCAAATAGTTGAAGAGTAAAAGCCATTATGAAAATAAATAAAAAGCGCACGACGGTGGCGCTTTGATCGTTAGCGCCAAACAAAATGTCCTATTAACTATTTTTCAGGCCATTTTTTCCGCGCTGCGCGATGAATCGCTGCGCTCTTACAAAGAGCACAATTTTACCTGCATAATTATGGCCGAAACTGATTTCCAAACGACTAGCGAGATAATGACGATCGCGCTTCCGTTCCGCGGGCCCCTCGAGAGCGCGGATAATTTCCTTGTCGGTGGCCGATCACGTAACGCAATTCGTTTCGGCTCTTTAACCGCGAATCAATGCGCGGGCTTGGCCGCTGCATTTTTCCGGGAGGTCACACTCTTCTTCACCCTACTCGGCGTCAGTCGAGACGTCGCGCATGTGATCGCTCGTGCGTGTTAACGCTCGTCCCCTCCCCTCCCCACCGCTTAACCGCCTGTTAAATGTACGCACGTTTTGTTCCGCGTGTTCCACGAAAGAGGCGATTGCGATCGAAGCCGTGCGCCCTTCTACCCTCCCCCCCTCCCCGCTCTTTCTGTCGATAATTCTAACCTTTGCACGCGGTTCACCGCTCTTCCTGTGTCAAGCATGTAAAGCGATAATAACGCGTCACGTCGTTAGCGTCGGACAAACTGCGACCGTTGCCCCGTCACGATCGAGATTAATTAACGCGAGAGATAATATCGCGCTCGCGCGGCGATATCGCGTTAGATTCGCCGAGGATGCGTCAGGGAAGTGGCGAAACGCACGGCGACGATGACGATGACGACGGCGACCAACGTACCGTCGAGGTATCGTCGTCGTCGTCGTCGTCGTCGTCGTCGTCGCCCTCGTCGTCGTCGCTCTCGCCATCGGTAGTCCACGTGCCGAAGTACATCGATTCTCGAAACAATAGGCGCGGGTGGGAATTGGGAACTCATAAATAATGTATAATGTTTTTCGGACGTTGGCCCATCCCCGTCGAGAAACCTTTCCCCAGCCCTTCTGCCCGCCCCCTCGCTCCCTCGCTCCCTCCTCCCTTCGTTTCTTCCTTCCTCACACACCAACACGATCCTCGTCTTCCTCCAGAGACATCCCCGATGCTTGCAGCATCGTTTTCAATTTCCCTCGGTACCCGCTACTTAACGCATTTGAATAACTTTTCGGGAACAACATTCTTCCCGCGCCCGCTCCTTATCGAGCTCCCTCACCCTCGAGCCTTACTTAGCCCGCTTGTGTGTCTTATTGCGTACAGTTCACGAGGCATGGTGGTAGAAGGAAAAGTGGATACCATCCCCGCGATGATTGATCGCCGTAGAGGAGAACTCCTCGCCACCCCCCTTAAGTCCACCAACTATCCGCCCACTCACGCACCCCCTCCGCCTTCCACCCCCCTGCCTTCACCTTACCAGCACCCCCGTCAATGTATTCCCAATGTCCGAAAAACATTCGTCGGTTAAGTCACCCTCTCCGCAAACACAGGAGAGCGGGGCGATCTTCCACGCAAGAAAGGATCCCCGACATGGGGTTGGAAAGATATCTCTCTGGGCCGCGCGAGGGGGCGGCGCGACGACGTGTACTCGCAGATACATACATATACATTCGCTTCGCGGGGAACTTCTTCTTCTTCGTCTTCGACGAGGCGGAGGGAGGGGGGAGGGGCGAAAGGGAGGGCGAGTCTTGCGCTGGAACGTTTCCGAACTGCAAATATTCCGTCGCCTTCGAGAGAAGGCAAACGGCGGCCGCGATTTAACGATCGTCGCCAGGCATTCGCCTTCGCGTCACGAAGCGCGCGAGAAGAGCGCCGAGCGGCGCGGCGCGGCGCCGACTGAATTCGCGCCGACATTGGTAAATACTGGGACAATTTCTCGAAGAGACTCGCGAGTACGAAAGGGCGGGAGACCGCGTCCCGAAGATTCAGGCTTTCCGCGAGAGTCGAGTCTCGCCATAGATAAGTAATTATTTTTCCCACTGTGTCGTGCTCCAGGTCACTCCAGAGTTCACTCTCCGAGTTTGCTCTCCTCGTGTTACTTTCTCGTATATTCTCGTCTCGTATCCCCCTTCCTCCCGTGAAAGC